GCCTGTGGCTGATCTAAGTGCAGGAGCAAAAACAGCGGATTCGAGAGGGCATTTATCGCCTAGGTCAATCATGGTCTTGATATAGAAATAATTCCCATGGTAAGCTGCCGCGGCAAAAATAGGAGTCATATCAGGTAGACGAATACCATCACGTAGCTGCAGGAGGACTTTATCCATTTCTCCTGTTAACTTTCTCATGGCTGTATGGTATGCCATAACTGGCATTTCAAATTTTGCCCCTGAATCCATCAGGATCCTCACCATGTTGACATTTTCGCCTATCACGGCAGAGAAAACTGCTCGAGAAACAGCCTCAGGGTCGTGTTTCATGCCAGCATCAAGTAAAATTTTAGCAGCTTCATCCAGCCCTTCCTCAGCAATAGCTAGAAGCGCTCTGGATTTCGCAAAGTCGCGCATGCCAAATTTGAAGAGCATCCAAACAATCTCCTCGCTTCCATTCCTAGATGCGACGTAAAGATGAGCAGAGAGATCGTTATCTTCCGATACGTACTTGTTTCTCGTCTTCTCTGTCATATTTTGGGACTGTACTCCTACAAAGAAGTACTTGGCTCCAGTATTGGTAGAACACAGGGGAACACTTGGAGTAACGGGAAGCAGCATTTCCACCATGTCAGTGTCATTATAATAGCAGGCCATGAAAAGGGCTAGAATGATGGCGGAGGGCGTGATAGGTTTCTTTGCACCGTCGAGTATCCACTTGATCATTGATGGTCGACCTTGCTCTGCTGCCCATGCTATCGCCGGGGTATTACCCTTGACATTGAAAGTGGCTGCCTTCTCGTGGAGTAAAGAGTGGAACAATGAAGCATAACGGGAATTAGTCTTCATCATGTTGCTCAATGCAGGGACCCCAAGAGACTCTCCTATGAGAAGCATAATCTCATTTGGTAAATGGGTCAATTCTGTTGGTGAAGGGTAGTGAGGAGGCATTGTGACAACTTCTGGTCCCAGAGAAAGGAGCAACAGTGGATTGTCTTTGAAGTACGTATCTTCTTAGGTTTAGAAGGAGGAGAAAGTGATTCTCTCAGTTCTTTTTGGGTGTGCATAATCATGAACCAAAGGCAGAGAAGTACCAGCTGTAGGCCTGCTTTATATAATTGAGCATCAAGATATCCTGGAGAGAATCCCAGCCACAAAGGCATATTTTTGGACGTCGGAATCGCCCTGTTGCTCCAAATAATCGGAAATATCACTGTAGAAATCTTGGTAGGTTCCAGTTCTATTGGCATTAGATGGTTCAGCTTTGGATGTTTTTAGAGCTGTTGATGGAATGCACTAAGGCAACATCCACATTCTAGTTTATTGTTCTAAAGAGTAGGAATGTCCCGGAAAGCACAAAACATGTGGTGTTCACCCCTTTTCAGGTTTTATTTATTTCTTTTGCTAATTCGTTATATTAGCCCACTAGCATCCTCGTGAGGTCGTTAATAATAAACGTTATTGATAAAATAAAACTTCCATAAAGCCAAACCCTTGCCTTAAACCCGGCAGCGGCCAGCTTTGAAAGAGGGAGGAGAAGGGTGGAAGAGCGTCAGGTTAGTAGAAACTCTCCACGATGCTCTCCTTGGTGGCCGTTCCAGCACCACTTGCACCGTCACTGAGTTTGAACACGCTCTCCACGACACTCAACTCGGTAGCTGTAGTATCAAGTCCGGTAATAGCTAGCCAGTCATTAACGACCATTCCAGCACCGACAACGGCAGAGCCACGGTTAACACTGCCAGCAACAAGGGGGACTTGTAGGAGAGAGGATAGTTCGTCTTGATCTTGTATCGAAGTTTTTGGGTGGACGATTCCACCCTGGTTGGAAAGGGACATGTAAGAGCCCGTTAGAACATTGTCCGCGATAGTCTGGCGGAATACCTCTACGCCAAGGACATCCGCTATTCTAAAGTGGTAAAAGAACATCCTAGGTCAGTGACTTCTGAACTCGAAAACCCAGGGTTCACGCAAGCAGTCTCACATTTCTTCCGTTTCACGCTCTAAATCGGGATGCACAAGAGCCACATGATCGTTACAACATATCACATTTCCCAAGGCTGAAAGTCTTTCTTCTGTTCTCTGTACCTTCACGGTATCTGGAATCGAGTTGCGTAAATGTTGTAGTTCCTGGTCAGTTGTGGTGGTAGGGACCAAGAGGCCTTTTCGGTTTCTAATCCATGGTTTCTCCCCATTAGCTGGGCCAGATATATGCGTCTGATACGTCAAGCTTACCCAGCTGTCAACCGACCAACGATCCTCGTTCCTGCTATGGATGCATGGCATATGGGTATGACATCTTGCAATTCAGACTCGAATATGCTGTAAAAGTTCTCCGATCCTCCAATAGCGACTATGGCGTAGGAATTTGTCAACGTCGCAAACACGCCAACACTAGAGTCGACGAAATTAGTATCATATTCATATAAGTGCGCAGAGACTGAAGGATAAACTAACTCGTTCGAATTCTCAAATTGCGCTCGAACGGCCATGATTCCTTGGCTAAGTTTAGATCCGGTTTTCAGGGGTAAAGGAATGATCACGGAGGGGGAAATAGAAACAGAAGATGAACGTCTTTAGCTCGTAGCGTCCGAAGGAGCTTTTTCTCAAAGCGTGGAGACGCTCTGAGTATTTGATATTCGATGGAGGGGAAAAAGCAATCTGGCGGGGTGTTCAGCCAAGCGTGTAAAAGCAGTAATCTGAACTGCTCTGAATCTCGATGGGGATGTGATATAGTGAGAGAAGCAGAAGAGGGAGAAGATGAGAATAAATAGTCTGTTGAATCTGCAAGACGATGAAGAGAAGGAAAACACTTGATGATAGAGGGTTTTCTCCGTGGATGTTGTGGGTGACGCTTAAATTACCAAAAATACGCTATTTTGGTGGTAAGTGACATCATGCTTCGGTACCAGTGGCGTAATCCTACCTATGAGTCAAAAATACTCATCTTCACGATGTTTTATTCGCAATAATGAAAAAGATGAAACAGAAGAAAGATGAGGGAAAGATGCGTCATGAGTCACGGCAGGACAATACGGCGATGATGTCTAGTCAGGATGAGCATGTCTCTCTACCATCCTGTCGACCAAGAGACCATCTTACACCGCGGACATGCCATGGGGAAGGACGGATATGAGAGAGCTTGCCACTCGAAGATGGCTTGCAAGGAGAGTAACTCCTACTGCTACTACTCCTGCCCAGTCACTGGGAAGATCGCTTGATCCTATAGCCATGCTATACCCCAGATGAAACGCTGGGCTCAAATGGAACTGGCAAGCTAGCCATTTGACACTAACATTAAAAAGAGCTCAGTGGTGGTTTTACCAAAGTACGCCGCTTTTTTACATGCTCAACAGAGCATGTTTATAGCAAGCTGCAATGGGACATTGCGTGTATTCCGAAGCTGTGCACTTATCATCTGATACGAACATATCTGCGTGGTTATGGGAATTCTGTGCATCGGTCAGCCTGCGTTTCAAATAAATATTGACAAACCGCATTTATGGAGATCTACTCTATTGCTCATACCATAATCCCCTAGAATACTACGCTGTCAGTCCCACCAATGCCCGAATGGCTCGATGAAATTGATCCATAGACACTTTGAGACAAGCTGTTTCTGCAGCTGGACATCCAAATCGAATTGTATTAAAGGTATAGCCCCGAAGAGAGGCTACTCTACTAATGGCTAACGGTGGAGAACATGTGGAAGGAGAAGGATGAGCCCAGTTTGATATCCCGTCTTATTGTCCTACGAGAGAAGAACTACTATATAAGGGTTCGTTATTTAGAATACAAAATGAAATATTATTACGCATAACTGCATGAGACCAAAAGTTCACGTGGATGAGCGGGAGCCTTGGAAAATATAAACCATGCATTTGTTGATCTTTTTTCATCGCTATTCCCATGTTATCCAAAACGGCTTGATTGCTTTTCAGGACGAGTTTAGAATATGCAGACAGGTTATTTAGATTATTACATCTCAAACTATCGCCGTGTTAACGGTTCCTACAATGAAACCAAGTGGAATGAGGGCACCGGGGTGAACATTAAGCAAGTCAAGTCAACCATCAAGGCATTATACGATAACGGAGTCCCTTTCTTCACTAAAGATGCCTTGCGTGAAATTCAAGAACAGCTGGAAGGCGATTTACGTGTCGGGCAGAAAATATCAGTTAGGGGACTTGATGGAGTAACTGTTGAATTTGACGTGATAGCTGGCCAGGTTATCAGACCAGCTGAAGCTGACACAGAATATGTCGCGTACGTTTAGTCGCCCTCTTCCAGACAATTCGACGTTGATTGATAATCTTTTTTAAATATAAACAGAATGAAGCCTTGTATTCATTATACATCCCCGATTTCCCTTCTACATCATTCGTATGGTAGTGATTTAGTTTGTTGCAGCCTGGAAATCCATCATCCTGTCGCCTTACGTCACAAAGTCACAAAGGAGCGTATAGGGGCTAGGCCGGTTAGGGACTTTGATGCCGTTAAAGCATCTTTTATGGAAGTTTTACAAAGATGGGATTCTAGCACAACCTGTCTGGAACTACAGGCAACTTTGAACCAGGTTAAATTCCCTCAGAACTTCAAGATCAGCAAAATTGTTGCATTTGCGTGCGGCTCAATCTCACTAGATTCAATCACGGAGGACATGAGTACAAGGCCGCTATATCAGAGCTTGAGAGAAAGGTCATCCTACCAGCATGCGTTGCTACGTACTCTTCAGAATACCATAAGTAATCTGGACGGATGCCACAATATCCAATGTTTTGCACAGGACCCTATCTATACCAGTGTCGATTCCAAAGTCCTAGAAGAATTTGGGATTAGCATCCTCGATGATCCGGAAGGCTTCATCCGGGTTGATGATACCACTCTGGTAGTTTCATTAATGCCCAATGTGCCTGTTAAGCAGATAATAGTGGATATTGCTCGGCCAGCTATGATTATTTGGGACTCTAGTCCAGAGGACGGAGTCTACTTGTAAACTCCCATTTCTAATTCTATTTCGGTTTTCTATACTAACTTATATATTTAGCACAGACCCAACTTCCCCCCGTGTCAATGATTTCTTGAATAGCTTCTATCATGAATCCAAGTTCCCCAATGACGAAGAAAACTTCAACGATGTTGCTATTTATACGAGGTTTGATGCATAGAATACTACGGATTGGGATTGCCTATGGGATGATATTGGATATTTTAAGGTTTGGGATTCAATCTGGCTTCCTCTGATGGATCGAATATGCCTTGATGATGACTGGGAAATTACTTGAATTTGAAGCCTAGGTAACTAATTAGATAAATATTTGTCAAAATATATCTAGTCTCTCTGCCGCTAATTGGTGCGGGCTCGCCTTTTTGGCCGAATGGCATATTTGACAATATTTAAAACACGCTCTAGGTTGGTCTCTAAAAGCCCGACTATAAATCTTCTTCCCAAGCCCTGTCTGTGGCTTTGCTTCTGGCTATAAATACAAGGCATCGTTAATGAACCTCATATATCTCACCATACATTGCATAATTCCTTCCAGTTACTAGCATCTTATCTCATTCCATCATTTGATTATCATTTCTCAAGCGTATGTCTCGTGTGAAGAATTATTTTCATCCAGAGTTATGAGAAAGTGAGGCCTACAATAATGCTGCTATCTTATAACAGTCGACTTACGGGGTTGTCCCTTTCGTCTGATTTAAACCTCATAGAACACGTAGACGGAGGTACAAATGAGTTTGTAAAACAAACCGTAGCTAGCACCTCTGCCGAGCTCGATATAATATACGGGATGTCCGCCGTGGCATTCAACAGCAGCCCGGCCTGATTGAACATTGTATAAGAGCCTTTTATCATAGTAGTCTAGTAGACGCTTCTGCTTGATGAGGCTCTGGCGGCAGTGGCTTATGTAATTCTCCTGCTAGCCAATCAGCTTTTCATACAAAGCCTTAGGCGGCAAAACACCTTGGTTTGGTTGCTTCTTTTTCCTATGTTGAAGAAAGACTTGACCAAACATTACTTGAGTTGCCTCCTTTGGCTGTGAACCATACAGAAGCTATTCTAGAGGAATCTATTATGATTAGATGGTTGATGAAAGCTCATAAGTGATGTTTGTTGTGCATAACCGGGCGCGGACATCCTACTTCGCCTCTTTTGTTTGCGCCAACATCATTCGTTTCACTCTAGGAATAACGCCGGAGGGGCCAATTCTTCTTATATAGTCATTCGTTACATTCAAACCAAAGATGGACGACCTCTCCGGCCTTGACTGGTCTCAGAATTCGAGCTCCCAGAAATCTGTGCCGGCAAACACTCTCTCGAGCATGTCCACTCTGCGTCCTGCGCCCCCTTTGTCTGGCCGCTCAAGCCCATTCTCTTCACAACCTGCTGTGAACCGAGCCCTTCCTTCGAAGACAGTGACACCTTCTAATGACAGCTTTGCGAACCTATTGAATTTCCCGTCCAGCAACTCGACTAAGAACCTCTCCCTAGCGGAAAGGCAGAAACAGCTGACGGAACAAAAGGCACGTGAGGAGCGGGAGAGGCAGGAGAAACTGAAGGCACAATACGGAGGGGCCAATGATCAGATATGGGATAGCCTAGAGAAGTCCAGGATAGCGCACAGTGCTCCTTCGGCTCATCGTGGCGGGGTAAATAGCACCGGTGGCGAGGACGAGGACGATTTACTAGCTGCTTTCAATGCGTCTACGCCTGTTGATCAATCTACCAATTTCCCTATACCAAGTGCCTCTTCTCCTTCATTCCAAGACTGGACAAAATCTCAATCCCCCGCCGCAGCTACTACTGTAACTGAGGACGATGATCCATTTGGGATGGCTGAGTTCAGTGCAAGCCGCCAAAAGCTAGAGACTCCATCTACAAAGGCGGCTGCACCAGATGATGACGATGATGTTCTGGGTGTTCTTGCAAAACCGGTATCCGAATTTCCAAAGCGTCAAACGACAAGCCCGGGCCTCGAAATTCATGAAGAGCCCGAAGCGGGACCATCATGCCACACACCAGAAGATAGAGCTATCGCGGAATTAGTCGACATGGGATTCCCTATTCATAAAGCGCGAGAAGCTCTTGCCGAGACTTCGTCGGGGACAGACGTCCAGCAGGCCGTTAGCTGGCTACTCAATCAGGCTCATAGCGAGGCCAAAGAGAAGGCACAGAGTAGAAGCCGTACTGGGGATCAAGACAGGTCACCCGATCCGGCGATGTCTCGACGATCAAGAAGGGAGAATGACGGCTACAACTCATCCCGGGATCGGTCTTCTAACAATGGCGGCCCTAGAGAAAAAGATCCCGCTCAGCTGGCCTCCGAATTTGGAAACACTCTCTTCAAGTCAGCCAACTCACTCTGGAAAACTGGGACTAAGCGGGTTCAACAGGCCGTTCAAGAATTCAACAATCCCCAAGACAATTCAACGCAGCCTCGCTGGATGAGGGAGAACACGCCAAATCCTTCGAGAAGCAGGGAAAGAAGGGTGGAGGCCCGACGTGAATCCCCCCAAGAATCACAGGCGGAAACCATGACGAACGAAGCTATGATGCTTGAAACCTCCAGAGAGCTACCTACTCCGACTTCACGTCCCCGAGATAGAGAGCCCTTAGAGACACCCAACCAGCCTAGCTCACGAGGCAGACCATCGGAAATCCCTTCAAAGCTCCGTTTTCAACAGGAGGACAATCGAAGGAAGCAAATACAGCGGCCATTGCATCAAAATGATACTAATAAACAGCGGACACTCTCACGGTTCGATGTGGACGAACAAGCATCGCAGGCATATGTCAGCCCTGCGAGGAGAAGGAAAGCTGCCTCTTCGGTTCCTCCAAGCGCGCCAGAACCAGACTTGTTGCAGACCCCGTCCCTGCCCACTAGGCCTACTCGGCCAGCTACAACATCCCCTGCCAGGCAGACACGCACTCCCGCCCCGGTACGACCAAAGGCAGCTCCAAGGGCGGTTCCCCAAATCTCAGCTACATCTTTATCATCTATACACAGTCACCGGCAGAAAGGAACGGAAGCTTACAAGCGAGGGGACTACGCTGTTGCACACACCTCATACTCTAGTGCCATATCTTTAACACCTAATGACCACCCCATCCTTATTATTCTACTTACCAACCGTGCCTTGACTGGTTTAAAAACGGGCGAACCCAAAAATGCTATAAGTGATGCGGATCGTGCCCTGTCCATAATTGGTCCCTCACACGGTGACTCGGAGACCATTGAGCTGGGCAATGGAGAGCCAACCAAGGATATGAGAGAATTTTTCGGCAAGGCCCTGATGAGAAAGGCTGAGGCATTGGAGCAGCTTGAAAAGTGGAAAGATGCGTCGGCAGTATGGAGAGAAGCTATTGAGTCTGGCCATGGTGGAAATACCAGTATTCAGGGCCGAAACAGATGCGAAAAAGCTGTCTCTATCGGTCAAAATGGCACTTTATCAACGCCAACCAAGCCTGTTTTGGCTCCTGCTCGTCCCAAGCCAGCTTCTAGGCCTGCTGCACCCAAGTCGGTCTCGACCAAACCAGCCGAAGCAGTCACTCGCCTACGAGCCGCGAATGAGGCTGCCGATCGGTTAGATAACGAAAAGTTCGACCTTGCTGACGCCGTCGAAGCAAAGCTTACAGCTTGGAAGGGAGGTAAACAGGATAACCTGCGTGCGCTGCTAGCCAGTTTGGACACAGTTCTATGGCCGGAAGCCGGATGGAAGAAGATCAGCATGGCTGAGCTGATTCTTCCTAACAAGGTGAAGATTCAGTATATGAAGGGTATTGCGAAAGTGCATCCTGACAAGGTACGACGGACACTGATTGTATAAAGAAACCTGTGCAACACACGCTAACTGGAATAGATTTCCGTAAACGCAACGACTGAACAAAAGATGATTTCTGGTGCGGTATTCAGCACCTTGAATGAGGCATGGGACAAATTTAAGCGTGAGAATAACTTATGAAAATGGCGAACGACACAACTTCATTTTACGATTTTTGATATCCCTTTGGATATTTTAATGGGTTTAGATACCAGTTTGATATCATTACTAGATCATTTGTATTGCATGGCTATAGCGTGGAATTACTCGTTATTCGTGAAGGTAGTCATATTTTAGCGAGTTCAAGGCGGAAGAGGTGAATTAAGCTGTTGTTGCCTTATTCTAGTCCTCTCATAAACTGGAGAGTACGGATGGCCTGGAAACAGCTATCTTCGCCTCAGAATAGTGAGAAGCTATTTTCAACCAAAAATATTTAGCATATACCCTGACCTTACCTCCTTCCTGCTCCTCGCCTTTCTAGAGAAGGCCCTGCATTATAATCAAAAATCTATTCCTTTCCACAAGCATCCAGCAAAAAAAAGCCATGTCCTTTCCTAATTGTCTCCCTGCTAATTCCTATGAAGGCACGGTCGAGGGAGTCGCCATAAAATGAAGCCCTAACGGGATTTCTGGGTTGCCTGGGCGTGCCACTTCTTATAAAGTGGACCAGAACGTGTTTAAGGGAGCCATCGAGCATTTGGCCGTCGCGAGTTGCTAAGCGATTGGGGAAAGCCTCGGTCAAGATTCTGTATGCCATTATCCATCCTATATTTAATCATTTTAAGCCTAGTACTAACAACCTCTTAGGGGCTCATTCCATAACGAAAGAACCATTACCGCAACTGGCCAAGTACTGCCTGATGGGTGCCATTGCACAGTTATGATGCCCCCATCCGGCAAAACTAGGGCCCATATTTATGTTGATCTCGATGCTGTATCGATTGACAAAATGAAAGTGTGGTACCGAAAGGCGCGACTACCCCAGATCCAACTTTGTCTATTGGTACCTATAGTTTTTAGAAACAGCGGTAAAACTACTGGTCAACTTTTACAGTGGATGGTGGGAGGTACCCGAGGTGTGATAATGTATCTGTAGTATCTATAGTAGCTATCTCATTATTATTATATTTAGTCGGTATTAATACTATATTTAACTGTATAGAAAATAATGGTGTTACAAAAGCTCTATATCCCGCTACGGCAGGAACCTCCAGCTCTGAAGGGCTGATAATATCCAATAAATCCTATTAAATCTCTAGTTTATTGGCCAGCCCTGGATATAAATAATATGCGGTAGATATGCGCTGGACTCTTCGTTCTTTTTTTTTCTTCTTCCACGAACCTTTGACATGGACTTGGTTTTCTCGCTTTCACAACTATCGTTCTTTGGCGGGACCTCCTACGCTCTATAGGTGATCCATTTCTGCTATTTTACCATCCGGTGCAGCCGTTGTGACAGAACAGGGTATGTTCGCATCAGATGGTAGGTGAGACAGTCAACAGGGGCTCCGATTGGCAGTCCCCTCATGTTCTCGCAACCATAAGTACTTCCTGCATACCACGTTAATGCAGTATACGGAGTGCATATCGACTCTGCGTGATACCCTTTGCCACCCCGCTACTGCAGCGTTCTCGCCTGGAAAACGGTCGACGCGAGATTTTCTATCCACAACAGTTAAGCCCTTGTTGTGAGGTATAAGGAGCAAGTATTGCGACAGGTTGGCTGGACGGCGTTAGTTTGATATTATGTATCAGAACACGTCTTTTTTTATTTTTTTTTTTAAAAAAAAAAGGTAGCGAGCTATCTCCTGGTCAATGAGTACTATATGGTTCTCAGATCCTCAGAAAGGGTGCACGGATGGCAAAGTCCCTAGAAAAGTGGTTAGGATGCAACTCCCGGTCTGGACGGAGCAGTGCCGTCGGCTGACATGGATCTCTACATCACAGCCTAGGGCATCCTGCATAGGGCCAACTTTGCCTGGCGCAAAGCTGGGCGGAGCAGCATCTATGCAAGCATGAGCATGCAGAGCATTTAGTCATCACTATGCACTTCAGCCTTGCCCGCTGACGAGAAAGCGAGGGTAGCTCTGCTAGTATGAGCAACTATTGGTCGACGGTTTCTTGTCTATACAATGAAGGCACAGCAATTGACACTTTTTCCCTTGCATGACTCTTTGAATAACTATTCTTTCAGCTCCGTAGGGGATGAGATAGGCCCCTTGACACCCACACCCACATGGAGTACGTTCACCCTTGGACGTACGATGAATCCTAGGGAGCATTATCCTGAGGTACACATATTAGTATATTTCATTGGTCTAGAATGAACAGGACAAACCAGGGGTATAGGGAAATACGAAAAAGCCGCCCCAAGTGATCAGTCGCACATTGATCCTACCGAAGCTCCAAAAAATAGTAGTTTGGGAATATATGCCCAAAGAGAGGTAAGCTGCGCAATCCATGCTCAGCTGCATATTTCCAGCCAAATATATGGTATTACTTAGGTCTCTTTACTCCATACATATAGGTGTGTATTTCTTCATGATATGCATCCACCATTAGGATACTGATCATACAGTCTGTTTGGTTACGACCTGCGGGCACACAGCTGGCCTGTTGCTGCTAAGCAACCATTGATGAAATTCAAGAATGTCATCGAGTTCGAGCGATGCTATTGTTGAACGGCGGCGCCAGCAAAATAGGGATGCGCAAAGAAAGAGGCGTAAGGGTCCCTTCTCATTAACTTATTTCATGTTCTTGCTTTTGTTATGTGAAAGGGAGGTATCATGATATGAATGGTGCAACTGCCTAATAATTCAGGTTTCTGACTGTTCTGCTTGTACAGGGAACGCCTTAAAAGCTCAGATAGTAGAGCTCCAAGCTAGAAATCTAGAGCTGCAGGCCTTTAAAGAGTCTACTCTCTCATCTACCACTAATCAGCCAACTCTTCGCGGCCCGGGGAACCACCTGACTCCAGATGTAAGCTGCCTCCTTGGAGGTAGCTTTGATACCTCATATCACGTATCATCGGAAGATCAGGGCCCGGACATAGCTGCAATGTCGATAGCATTACGTCCTGATTTCCCAAAGCTAGATGATGCATTCATCAGGGAGATATCCGAAAGTCTACATCCCAACACACGAATCGTATCTAGAAGCCAAATGGGCAGCATTCTGCGCCATTACCATGAAGCCGAAGATACTACCATTCACAAGGCACCGCCAACGCCAACTTCAGACTCCGGCCCTGGAACATATGGAACACCACTGCCAACCATCTATACGGATGCCACAATGAGCCCTTCATCGGGAAAGCAAGATTTCGGCTTACAGCTCGGGGATACACCGCTTAATGACTCGCTTGATCTTTCTATACGTCCTCAAGCCTCAGAGCTCAGCCCGAGAACCGGGACCGTGGAGACTGTAGGTAGGCAAGTTGGATCTAGCACGCCTCGACCTTGTTTCCGTGACAAGAAGCAAAGTGCCATGGCTATGGCTGTGGCTAACCGGCAAGCAGCCGTAGTACGGCTGCTATTACAGCATGGAGTTGATATGAATGCGCGGGATGACCGAGGACGGACCGCTCTGCACGATACAGCAGAAACTAATGATACAGAAATGATGCAGCTGCTCTTGGACTATAATGCCGACTTAAATATTGTTGACGAGTCTGGCATGGTACCTATTGAGATTGCTGCGTCACTGGGGAACATAGAGGCAGTAGAAGTACTACTGAGGGCCAACCCGTAGGAAAGAAATTAAACAAAAAGATAATTTACCCTGAACTTTCTCCATGACAATTGGACCTGATTTGGCGTTTCTATTCTGCATGGGTTGTTTACCTTGTATTTGCTTATATTATCTCATAGGCGAGGTTCATTTGGATAGCTGTAATGAATATCTGGGGTGCATAGTTCGTTTTCTGTTGCTGAATTCCCTGAATTCCCGAATCTATTTGTTGATGGTATTTAATCCAATCTGTGATCCGAGCACACACCCCTGTATTCACTCATCTTGACTGTCTCGCAGGGGTATCTGTAGGTGATGTCCAGGCGATATAGCGAACGGCCACAGCTGAGAGGCCAGAAACATGTGTAGAGCTTTGCGCCAGCCACAAACCCCCTAGCTGACATCAACCACCGGCTGCAGTTGCTGGGTTCCTGTCAGCATGACTGTACATAGTACTAGAACAGACCAGGGGCTCTTAGCTAGCCTTGTTCCTATGGATATGCATGTCTTCGAAAGAGACCTGTTGGGCAGGCACTTAATTAACCCGTACCTCTGTAGTAACAACTGTAGAATATAAAATATATACTATGTGTATATATTGAAAACAAATACTCTGTATGGAGTGAACAAGTCAGATTATATCAAATCATTCCAACACTTAATAGCAAATGAATCCTGCATCAGAAGAGGTTTCGCCTCCATGGGGGGCTTGGGATAGCTGCCATATCTTCAGCGCCAAAGAGAGCCGTCTCGCAGCGGCTCTACCAGCCGACGTTCAAACAGTGACGATCCAAGACGTGGTAGACAGAGATATACTATCAGCATTCAATCAGGCTCACAAGATCTCAGAGGGTATAGTAGTGAAACTCGCCTGCTGCTTCGCTGTCGGAAGCTATGTTGGTGTGGAAAATGTTTGTATCGGTGTTGAAACAGATGGCCTCCGGAGCTTGCTTCGCTGTCAACTAGATAGCCAGCAGACTGTCACAGGTTTACTTCAATCAATAGAGGAGATAGAGCTGCCGGTTGGTGGTTATGGCCAGAACTTGGTTGATCTCGTCGCTTCCACGGGTCTCTTTGACACAATACTCTCAATCCGAGGCCTTGACTCTGGGGTCGCAGTGACTGGAAAAGGAAATGAATATATCGATGTCGGAAGCTCGCATGTAAGTTCATTAATTATAACACTTATTGATGCTGGGAATGACTAAAGATCTCCTGTTCCCTTGTTTTATAGAGCACAAAAACCCATGTTGTCGTCGACGTGAATTTGTCCCTGGGCAGGATCGAAATCAACTATCCATCCAGCATCTGCTGCGCAACCCGGGCAAGAAGACTTGCAAAACTCGTCTCCAAAGCTATCGAAGAGCTCATTGGAAGTGCAGACCGGCGATTATGCGACCTGGACTTACTTCCCGCCAGCGACGCCTTGGATATCGCGAATTGGAACGACAGAGAACTGGGCTCTTACGACGTCTGTCTTCACGATGAGATCCGTAAACGAGCAGAAGAATCGCCCGACAGCTCTGCAATCTGCGCCTGGGATGGTGACTTGACATATAGTCAGCTAGACATCCTTTCATCGCATGTTGCTTGGAAGCTCCATGAAGCTGGCGTTGATGTTGGGTCAACCGTGGCCTTTCTGTTTCACAAATCAAAGTGGACGGTTGTCTCCTTGCTCGGCATCCTGAAAGCTGGTGCAGCTGCTGTGGCACTTAATCATGACTATCCAAAGGAGAGATCCATATATATCCTTCGCTCTACCGGCGCAAGTGTCCTGCTTGTAGGGAGAGACCTAGAGGACACTCTAGAGATACCGGACGGCGGACTCACTAGGATAACTGTCGACGACGCTCAGTTTGACCGTGATTTGTTTGAACTGGACCATGCTGGGACATATACCTCATCCAGGGTCACGCCAGAAGATCCTGCATACATCCAATTCACATCTGGCAGCAGTGGTACACCAAAGGGGATCATTCTAGAACATCGCACGTACATGGCAAATGCAATCTCACAGCTTGAATTGTACCATATCAACAAGGAATCGAGAGTCCTCCAGTTTGCCAGCCATAGTTTCGATGCTATTCTCACTGAGGTAGTCTCATCACTGCTAGCTGGTGCTTGTATCTGCATTCCCTCCGAAGAAAGTCGTCTCGATGACTTGACAGGCGCCATAAACGACCTCAGGGTGGACTGGATGGGTCTGACGCCAACTCTTGCCAGGACACTGAAGCCTGAAGATGTTCCAGCCCTAAGGACTCTTGCTACCTGGGGGGAAGTGGCAAGCAATGACATTATCGAAGCCTGGGCAGACGCCGTCGAGCTTCTCAACCTTTACGGCCCTTCTGAGAACTCCGTCGGAGCCGCTGCGCATTCGTTATCTAAAGGGGTTCGAGACCCTAGCCACTTAGGTAAACCCATTAAAGCAGTCAATGCTTGGATTGTCCGCGTTGATAATCGAGAAAAGTTAGCCCCGATAGGCGCAGTGGGTGAGCTTGCTCTGCAAGGTCCAACGGTTGCTAGAGGCTATTTGGAGAATGATACCCGTAACGCAGATTCGTTCCAGAACCATCTACCTTGGTTGGAGGGCGAGGAAAGACATCAGCGTATCTATTACACTGGCGACCTGGTTCGATACACAGCTGACGGCAGCTTGGAGTATGTTGGCCGTAGAGATACGCAAGTCAAGATCCGAGGCCATCGCATCGAGCTTGGTGAGATCGAGTACCGCATCAATCAGTGCCTGGGCAGATCTGATGCAGGCTCCGTGGTAGAAGTTATTCGTCCTTCTTATCGTCCATCCCAAGCTATACTGGTTGCCTTTTTGGAGGAGAGAGGTGGTTGTACTGTTGTATCAGCAAACATTCCGTTACAAGCTGCATCAGATAAATCCAAGACCAGGGCAGCCGAACTGGAAGAGTATTTAGCCAGATATTTACCGGTACACTTCATTCCATCGTTATATCTACCCTTAACATATATACCAACAAACACTTCAGGAAAAGCAGACAGGAAAGTGCTTAAGGCAGGCTGTGAGTCTCTGTCAGAGCCGGAACTATTAGCATATTCTCCTCAGGCTAAATCCAAGAGTTCACCACAGACAAATATGGAGATCAAAGTCGCCTCTCTCTGGTCTGACCTACTTGGGGTCGAAGTGAATGACATTGGCCGAGAGGATAGCTTTTTTTGGCTGGGAGGAAACTCCATTCTTGCCATGAGACTTGCTGTCGCGGCTCGTCGTGAAGGTCTACAGGTGACTGTGGCAGAAGTTCTGGCCAATCCTCGATTAGACCAACTATCATCTATTCTATCAAGGCAGGGCATGCAAGCACAGCCAGAAGAGAGTCCGATATATATGCCCTTCTCTGCGCTCCCTAATGACGTGGGCGAATATTTTGTCTCAAATGTAGCAGCACCCCGGCTGGGCGTTGATGCTGAGGATATACAAGATGCAGGCTTAGCTACTGACTACCAGATTGAGAACCTGGCATGGTCTTCACTCAAAACTCGCGGAGGGACCAATTACATTACATTTGACTTCTCCGACGCCAGCATTCCGGCTTTTCGTCTCCAGGAAGCCATCGAGAGATTAATAGTTTATCATGAAATTTTGCGAACAGTCTATATGGTCTTCCGGAGACGAGTCTATCAAATTACCTTGAAGCGGCTTCCAGTTGATATTATACACTGCATGTACAACAAAGATATCTCCAAGGCCACGGCAGAAGTAGTTGAAACAGATACCAACCTACAAGTGGATATTTCTCGGTCATTACTCAAGTTTTGGTTAATCCGTGACCAACTCGGTGCAGTGAAATGTCTTATTATGCGTGCATCTCATCTGCAGTACGACGGTGTGAGCCTCATACGGCTCTGCAGGGAGCTTGGCCCTTCCTTCTACGGTCAAGACCTCTTTCCAACAACTTCTTTCCTCGCATACTCACACTTCGCTGCCACAAATAATGAAGAGGCTGCGAGAGCATTCTGGTGTAAGACACTTACCGGTTCCTCAATGACACCCATATTCCAACACACTAGTATTCCATGGAAATACGTGCTTGACGGACAGGTGGATACCATCATCGACACAAATCTTGTTCGTTCAGACTCAGAAATTACTATTGGGACCACAATAAAAGCGGCATGGGCTCTGGTGCTGGCAGAAATGTCTGGCTGCAATGACATTGTCTTTGGTTCCGTTATCTGGGGTCGGAACGCGATGTATCCTGGAGTAGAGCACGTTACTGGTGCCTGCATAGACAATATTCCCGTTCGTGTGCGCCTTGGAAACAATTTGACACGGCGAGAGCTTTTGGAACAAGTTCAGGGACAGTACTTTGAAGCTGTCAGCTACGAGAGCTTCCGATACAAGAGGATTGTAGAAGAGTGTACAAACTGGAGGCCGTGGGAACGACTCAGCACGCTAGTTGAGTACGAGAACCTGGGCGAGGAAACTGCAAGCTTCAAACTAGATGAGACGCAGAGATTCACAGTTGATGAGATCCGCCCGCCAGCAGATCGACATGATATTACGATTTTCAGTACTCCAGTTGGCCCAGAGAAGACATTCATTGCGCTCGACTTTTGCAAGGGAGCTATCTCTGAGCCACTGGCACAGAAGATGCTAAACCGTATGTTGGAACACATACGTGAGTTTCATGACAACACCGACAAGCTGGTGCAGATTGCCACGGCAGATATTATGGGTCTTCCACCGATTCCTATGCTACTACCCAGTTCCCTTACTCAGAGTGACTTGGATGCCGTCGGGTTGCAGTCATCCCATACAGTCATCTTTTCCTCGGAAGAGCTCCGTGGACGCTATAAAATGCTCGTAGAGGAGGCTTGGATCAATGTAATGGGTTGTCAGGCAGAAAACCTAGTTGCATACTGGGCGGGCAAAACACCCTTTTACAATGCATGGGGAAATCTCATTGCTGCGTATGGTCTTGCTAAAAGGTATCAAGAAAACGGAATACCTGTCAGTATGGAGCAAGTATTGGAGAACCCAGATATGCAGTCTCAAGTGGCGTTGCTCATAAATATCGCCAATTAGCTAGGGACTACACTGAGTAGTTAGCTAGCAGACCCATAGTTTGTAAAAATTGAAATATTCTTCAAAGTGTCATTATTTACAATACTTAAATTCGACTCTATAATAATTGGTTTATTTGCTGACTTTCACGATTCTCACGTCAAACCATCATCTCCTTCACGAAATGGAATCATCCTCCGTAAACTTATTCAACGCATCTGCATCCATGCATAAGTATAATGCACCTTGTCATGTCTTGTCTTTTGATACTCACGAATGACATTCGATGCCCCCTTTTTTTTTGTTGTAGTCAAGTTGAGTCAGCAAGGAGTGTCATGTGACTCAGATGAGCACAAAAACACATCTTGAGATGTTTCGGGCTTCATCTTCAGATGCACGATCATTGAGGCAGGCAAGGGATGGCCTTCAGAGGATGCTACCCTTGCTACCAGGATGGATAGTACCTTGTCAACACTTCAGCCCTGTGCCGATTCAAGTTGGCTCCCTGATAGAAACAGGACCATGTCCTCAGCTGTGCTGGGTTACGACAGCTCGTTACTACTATGTAGTAGCATTGGGCGTTTAATTAAGCACTAGATAGAATAGGGAGTTGAGCTCAGCTGTGAAGCCAGATATTGCATATAAGCTCCTTAGCTAGTTCGCACATACAGAGATTCAATATTTCGTGCTATTCTATTGCCCTCTTCAAGCTTCCAATTCTCCAGCCTCATCATATATACATACCCCTTATTCAAAAAGGACTACGAGCCGACCAGGTCGAATTTGGTTAAGTGATCGGCAAGATGAATTGCACCACTAAGAAGTCACCTCTTCAGGTGGCTATGGTTGGCATTGGCCATCGAGGATACAAGACGCATTTCCGCATTATGCTTGAGAACCCAAGGGCATGGACTGTGGTGGCCTGCTGCGATACCAACGAGAAGACCCGAGAAGCATTCTCTCAGAAACATCCCAACATCAATGTGTACAAGGACCTTGGCGACTTGTTGAAGAATAACCGGCAGAGATTGGATTTTGCAGTTGTCTGCGTCCCACACCAATACCATTTAGAATGCTGTCAGGCTCTTGCTCGGAGAGGGGTGCCTATTTTGAAAGAGAAACCTGTCGCTGAGTCACTGGAGGAGTACCAGCAACTTCTACAACTGCCTGTCAAAATTGGTATCACCTTTCAGAAGCGGTTCGAGCCACGTTATCTCGCGATCAGGGACCTCATCTCACAGGTCGGACAGGTTGCATCATTCACAGCGACTCTGACTGCGAATATTACCGAGTTGGACGCTACATGGAGGGCAACTAGTGATGTCGGTGTTACAGTGTGTATGACCTGATTGAACTCCAGTTTTAACTCTTTACTGACATTTTTATGTAGGAAGATTTAGGCTGCCATATGCTGGATATGATCGTGTCTCTCTTTGGTAGACCAACTTCAATCACCGCGCAATATACCAAGGGCATTCGAATTGAACAGGATTACGGTGGCGATGATGTTTCGAACATCGTTATGAATTTTGGGGAGGCCGCAAAGCGCAACATAGGCCAGGTTCACCTCTCACGAGTGGCCCACATGAATGAAGAGCGTCTCATAATCACTGGTACTAACGGCACCTTTATCTTGGAGGGCAAAGATGTGAGGCTGCGGGATAGTAGCGGTAATGAAACGTTTCATTTCCATGACGCTTCAGAGAAGAAGTATATCATCAACTCAATGTTGCAAAAGTTCTCTGCTTGGGTCACCGGCGCAACATCCGACTTCCCCGCCTCGCTCGCCAATCTCAAAGATACTGTTTTGGTCATGGAAGCTACACGTCGTGCATACAACAACCCCAACGCCACCGAGACGGTAACTGCGAATGGGAAGCCAGCCAAATCTCATGCGCAGGCCTCTCTGCGAGATACACATCATGTATGGCCGCTCCTTTCATCGGAGTCTGAGGACGCCGTCGTGCGTCAGATGCATTCCTCACTCTCCATCTACAACCGATCCGACATCTATGAAATCTTTGAAGACAGATGGCTTAAGATGCACGGCCTGAAGCATGCTTTGGTTTGTAGTTCTGGGACAATAGCTATTCTCCATATGTTCGAGGCACTGGATTTGCGACCTGGCGACGAGGTTCTTTGCCCCGTGTACACTTTCTTTGCGACAGCCTCGCCGTTGATGCAGTATGGTGCAATTCCCATCTTCTGTGACAGTCTAGAGGACGGCAACATTAATCCTGACGAAATTCTCAAAAGAACCACCTCTAAGACAAAGGCAGTTATCGTCACACACATGTGGGGGCTGCCATGTCGTATGAGACAGGTTGTCGAGAACGCTCGAAAAGTAAATATCAAGGTCTTAGAGGACTGCTCGCACGCCCATGGTGCTATTGTTGACGGCAGGATTGTTGGGTCATGGGGCGATATGGCTGCATGGTCGTTACAAGCCAAGAAGAATGTCATGGGTGGACAGGCGGGCATCATGGCCACCAACTCAACGGATTACTACTCGCGAGCAATTCTTCATGGACACTTCAACAAGCGTGCAAAACAGGAGGTTCCACAGGACCATCCATTACGGAAGTTCTGGCGTAAGCAATCCCTCTCCTCCTTCATTGCATCGATTCCATCATTGATAGCCCGTCAGTAAGCCCAGATAACTAATCCTACTCGTTTTCTACAGTGACGGGGCTAGGCCTCAACATGCGTGCCCACCCCCTGGCTATAGCTTTGGCGAATCAACAACTCTCCCTTCTTCCAAGCCAGGATCAATACAGACAGCAATATGCTTCGTACATTGCCAAAGGTCTCAGCTCTATCCCCTTTTTAAAAATGCCTGTTGTGCATGATAGCCACCATGACAAGCACGCGTGGTACGCCTTCGTAATGCAGTTTGACTCTTCCAAGGCACCGGATGGCCTCACTCGGGACAAGTTTGTTCGAGAACTAGTTGACATCCATGGACTCAAAGAAGTGGATATCCCGCGTTCGACAGGCTTGCTGAATGAGCTACCACTCTTTACTCATTCCCACGAGGCAGTTCCAAGGTTCGGTGACAAACGCTGGTGCAAGATGCAGCCAACGACAGAATTCCCAAAGGCGCAGCAATTTTACCAGTGTGCCATCAAGCTGCCTATGTGGGCTACTGAGAATGACAAGCCCATCGTGGAACACTATGTCAAGACATTCCTGGCCGTTGCTCATGATATATCGCAGCGGACATCGAAAGGAAAGAACTCCGGTCATGATTATGTGGATGAACCGATCCATGCAAGGCTGTAGAATATAACATCCATAACTATCCCTATATTACAAGTTCTTTCTCTAAGAAGCGGAATATACCAGAAAGAGAGTACTGAATATGATATTGACAACCAAGGCTGAGCGTTGCTAGAATACAGAAGGGATGATATGTGCTATATAAGACTGATTTCTTTCAACAACGCACCGGCGCCCCCAAAAGTTTCCTACCATACTCGAACATTGTCCACTCGAATATGCTCTAGTCGGCGCCGAAGCATCCTTAGCTTAGTATTAATTGTAATCAGACCCATTAATGCATATCCATTCTCTCGCTCTCATCCCCGCTCTTCTTTTGTCCCTGTCGAGGTTTTAGCGACGAGAGGTCGTTTAGGCCCGCAGCGAGCCTCAAGGCCTCCCACCCTTTTTGACGTCTTTCGGGTGGTGAATGGATATCCATTCTTTCTAAAGCGCGCTGGCGGTTCCTCGTCTATAGCTATATCTTGCCCTCCAGGCAAATGGCCAACCTGCCTCTTGCTAACTAGATGGTCTCTGCCAGTCTAATTCATAAGCCTGTCGGAACTTTTTTTCACAAATGGATATAGGTTATCCAAGTTGATAACTTAGCATTCGGTATACCAACTTCTCTAGCAGCCCCGGTAGATGGTAATCGGGCCCAGACAGTAGGTGATTTATGCAGTAGTTCCTCTCAGTGCCTAGCCCGGACGTCACAACTCCTTACATACTCCCTGATATTTTCAGCCGTCTCTGGTGCCTTCACTGGGTCAATTTCTGCCTTTATGTGACCGTTTGCTCGGGCGTATCTGCTGTCGGGACATGATCCTGTAGGATATACCCAACCTCCAGACCACCAAAGCTCACAGGACAGTTCCGCCATACTTATAAGTTGAGGAGAGTGGCCCCCTTAGTAGGAGGATGGTTAGCCGGCAGAGGCTTGCAGCCGAATAAAGATGTTTCGAAATCGACTAGGACTTTGGCGAGTGGATTTACGGGTTGGTTCCATGCCAGAGGGTGCCTAGCCACGGCCTCACGTTCAACACCACCTACATCCTGACTACTCCTAGGACGATATGGAGAGATGTAGTTGTCCGGTCAAGCGCCAAATATTCTGCCCGTTAGCCAGGAGGCAAGGCCATCGTGTTGCCGCAGCAGATCAGGACGAAGCTCAGAGGAAGGTAGATATAGATACAGCGTTGAAGAGAGATTTCAGAGAACGTATCAGGTGGCAGAGGGACTAGTTTTCTAGCCTTACAAGATATTCAGGGATGGCCTGTCGATATCCTCCTTTATATATTACTGATACTGCTGTTGTCACTACTGAGATTCTTCACTCTACGATTACTTATTCACGTATATCAACAGGCTGGAGAGGGAGGCCGATGAGTGAATCTGTAATGGCAGATATACTGCAGCGGTGATACAGCATATGCCACTCGACCAAAAGACCATTCACAGTGATAACGTTACCCCTGAGCCGCTGCACTGCTTATAAGCTTATATTGATGCCATGTGATATAGGCTTGGTGGGTGTATATGCTGCGTAGCATGATAGAACCTCAGGAGATAAACCTCCAAGTTGCTATCAAACGTTTTCATGAAAATGAGCTCCTAGGGCGATATAGATATATCCAGGATGGCAAGGTTATCCTCCATAGGAATCTCGATTTTAAGCGGCCATATTGGGTTGAGGTACTCCCCTAAAATGATCTAACCTAGGGTTATGCCCAGCAAATATCCACACAAGCTATAGCGCCAGAGGCGCCTTAGTCTATGTCCGAGAGCATACTATGTAGGTGTTTGTTACACTTGTGAAGGCTGGCCAACTGGCTTACATCCAACCTTCCTTTAGCTTTTGAATCAGCAACTTGCAGGTCGCTGAGTGGCTGGCAAACGATCCATGTAATATAGCAAAGAATTAAATGCTGCTCTATCAGTTGAAGACCTATAACATATCGAAGGGGTATAGATATGGAAATACCTTCTAGAGGATGTAATAGTGCGCTCAAGTAGACGTACTTTATAAACCTCGTTTCCGGCTCACACTCGTTGTAACAGCCTAGATGCGCTGAGAGATTAGCATTGTTTCCAGAAGCACCACAGTAATAGAACTTATCCTTGTTGGGAAACCTATACTTTTCCAGAAGCGATGTCTTCCTTCTTTACTTGGGCTTTATTTGGTAGTGGATGTTGCCATTATGGAACCACCGGTAGACTTGGTGGTATCATTTGGAGAATCTGCCTCAGATAAGGCACAAAGTTGATAGAGATATAAGACAATAAGTAATTTGAATAAAAAGTTGTCTGCGGTCAATTTTCTAACTCTCCGCCCTTTCTTGACCGTCTTCCACATCTGGTGCGGGCGGTTCGCGCTCGACCAACTATAGAATAGAATGTTGGTTAGTGTTAACACCAACAATATAGGAGTAAATATATGCCGTACCTTGACGTGGGGCCCGGATCGCTGAATAAAATACTGTCAGAATCTGCCATTCGGCCAAAAAGGCGAGCCCGCACTGATTGGTGGCAGAGAGACTGGTTATATTTGACAAATACCATCCAGATGCGGACGAACCGGTCTGCTCCGTATCATCCCTCTTCGATGTTGAAGGAGAGCTAGGGAAAATATCTGCTTCTACCTGTTCATGCCACAGCTTCTGGCTGCTTGGGAACATTTTTTGAGGGCTGGTATGGGGCGATGACTCTATGCCTGCCCAGATGATTCAGTTTATGAAGATATAGGCTTAGTTTCGACTAGAATCAAATAGGGTGTTGAAACAATCGGATATGAGGGGCTTTTTGCCGTCTAAACGTAAGAATTGCCACATTATCCCATCAGATATCATGCCATAAACGACATTGACTATTCTCTGGGGGTTGAGGTTCATTCGATGTTGCTGGGCAGCTACCATATAGGCAACAGCCTGCCCCAAGCCAAGGCTAATAGGCACTTTTTTGGCTTCTACAACTACGGAGAAGCTTTCATAGACGGGTGGGACTGTATACACAGCGGGCCGATACCCCAAAACGTAGTCTGCGACGCCCAAGACTTGCTGCGGCCCAGGAGTCTCTGCGGTTAGCCGGTATTCACCCATGACTTGAATGCTTCGAGCGGCAGGTTCATGCCGGTGCATCCCAACAATGTCGAATAAGACTAAGTCGATCAAAGTGCGGCACAGTGACTCTGCCGAGGATTTAACCCAATACTCGGCTGAACGTAGACGCCCAAGGACGCTCTCTAGGCGATGGTTAGTCCAGTTGATCTAAGGTAGCGGCTGGTTGCACACACAAAGACATACCTATATCTTACGAGAGTGAAATTGGAGGGACATCATTCGGCGCCTCCCAAATGCAATCGCTCCTCCCTAGCAAATAGTCGAGACCGAATAACTGAGCAGCGGAATCGATGTGTCTAAGTGACGAAGTGGGCACAGACATGAAGGCTTTGGTTTTGGACATCTTCGGATTCATCACGCCCTCTACTGCCTCAACCAAATTCCGAAACCCGTCAAGAATCGCATCAAAACGCGGATCGTCATGATTGTCACTTTCCTCCAAAAGCTCATAAGCCTCCGTAGTATTGCCACAAGGAGGTGTCGTTGGCACAGACATGGCGGTTTCGTTTCGCTTGCTTGCAGGAGAGGTCAAGGGCTGGGTTGACGGATCGCTGTTGAAGCGAACGCGGCTAATACGCGGTTGTTGTGACGTCATAGGACAGAAGTAAGGGATCGAGCGGGTGATTAGTCAGTGATGAGTCAGCTCTTATAGCAGGCGTCTACTTATCAAAGATAATGGCTTACTGTGCTAATATATTGTCAAATATGCCATTCGGCCAAAAAGGCGAGCCCGCGCTGATTGGAGGCAGAGAGACTTGTTATATTTTTGACATATATCTTTTAATGTCTGGTAGTAGCTGATTTTCAGTCACTTATGCCGTCTATCATATTCACCATGCTTCGGTTGAATGTAACGTAGACAAGGCTGCGGTGACTTATATGATGACTATGATGACAGGACAGCGACTTGCTTACCCCTGAGAGGCCACAAGCTGACCCATGTCTGGTCATCCGGGATGTTCCTTGCAGCTATTGCATGGTCGAGATATAGTGACTCCAGAGCTTTATATTAAGACTTGGTAAAGGAGGGAAAGGGTAGCAAAATCTATGTCTGTTGCTATGGGATATACTGACAATGGCCCAGATCAAGGACATCACACTCCTTCACTTCAATGACGTGGTATATATAACCCTACCTACCCTCCAGGGATACGACATATTTAAACAGCGAGTCTAAACATGTAATTCATCCTACTGCAGTATCACATCTCCGACGTCGAGCATGTTGCACGCTTCGCCTCTGTGCTGGCTGATCCAAGCCATGTCACCAGTGATGTCTCTATCCCTGAGCAGCAACTCCGACTATTCAGTGGTGACGCCTTTTCTCCTTCTCTCGAAGCATCCGTCCTTCGCGGAGAGCATATGCCCATGGTTCTCAATGCCATGAACATTGATGTCGCCTGCTATGGCAACCATGACTTCGACTTTGGTGAGAGCCGCCTCGTCGAGCTGTCCAGAATCACCAGGTTTCCATGGACTCTCACAAACGTAGTGCGCAAAAGGATGCCTTCAAGCCAGGGAAGAGATAATCAGCTATTGGCCTTAGCTCATACATACATCATTCGAGAGGTTGCTGGGCTTAAGATTGGATTCATTGGTTTGGCCGGGACGTAAGTGCATTTATATTTATAGTTATCGTCATATGGGTACCTTGCTCACCAGCGTCAGCAAGTGACTGGCCATCAAACTGTCAACATCTACCTAGCTGTGACATATGTGATCCTGCCAGCGTTGCCAAAAGCACGGCAAGACATCTGCGGGAGCATGAGAAATGTGGCCTTGTCATCGCATTGACTCATATGCGCCTGTTAGAGGACATGGCAGTATCACAACATACCAAGTCCGGTAGTGGTCGGATTGACCTTATACTGGGTGGCCATGACCACAACGTCGTTCAAAGAGCATCTACGGACTCCAATATTGACCCGAGTATTGCGCGACAAGGCGTACATACCGACGGCGATGTGCGCATTATAAAGAGCGGTACTGATTGGAATAGCCTCTCAGTATTGCGCCTCACAGTTGCTAAATACCCCGATGGCAATGTATCTATATCGAATACAAAACGTAAGAATTGACCGATCCTTAATATTCTATCTAGAAACACTTACCTAAAGACACTTTGCAGTATATCAAGTGGCGGATCTGAAGTCTCTGCCAAACTATTCAGAGATACCACCCTGTCCCAAGACCCTGAAAGTCATCGCAAACGTGCAAGCCACAATTGCCAAGTTGGTAGAAAAGCCCCTAGTGATGACTGACACTCCGCTTGAAGGAAGGTCTCGAGTCGTCCGCAGCCGGGAAGCCAACCTAGGAAACATGCTCGCAGATGTGGTTCGCTCTTTTTACAATACGGATATTGCCTTCGTTAATAGCGGAGCCATACGATGTGATAGGATCATCAGCCCAGGACCAGATGAGCCTCTACGAATCCGTGACATCATTGACATCAGCCCTTTTGATAATGCCCTCGTTGTTAAACGTATTAGTGGGCATGTCCTGGCACATGCACTTGAGAACTCAGTCTCGGACGCACATACTGACGGACGCTTCTTGCATCCATCTGGCATTACCATGGTGGTTGATTGGAGCCGCCCTGAGGGTCAGCGGGTTAGTGATATTGTGTATTTATCGAGGGATGGGCAACGACAGGAAGTAAGGGCCAAAAACACGTATACGGTTGCTATGGTGGATTTCATTGCGTCGGGGTTTGATGGGTATTCCTGCTTTCAGGATTGTGAGACTCTAGTTGACGTTGAAGGTTCGATGACCGATACGAATCTTTTGTTGCAGGTGTTTGAGGAAGGCCCTGGAGGTGGATGTGTTCGATTTGTAGATGAGACAATGGAGGGTATCAGGAGAGCCAGGAAGGCGATTATCCAAAGGAGAAATTCTGTCAATGGACTGCCCGTCATCTCTCCATCCATAGAGGGCCGCATACAGGTCATTAAGCCTAACTTATAGATGTTAGACCATACTATATAGATAGCAGGTATCAAATGATTTGGCACTGTTGCGTTGTACTTGTTAGCAGTGTTAGCATCAAACTGTGGTTTAGAGGCAGGAATAAAAGCGAACATTTGTTACAAACTCGACCGTATCTATTCCATATTTCCCTCATTTCATGTTATGTTAGTATAAGATAAGGGTATAAGTTCATGGGTATTAGCCTGATATAGAAAGATCAACAAATATACCCAGTTAAAGCTGAGAAGTTATTCATCCAAATAATCAATTGAGTATAGATGCATGTAGTAAAATAAGCGCTATCAATGCAAGAAGAGACGTGTAGATATTCAAAGTTATCACTTTAATCTTATGCCGTCTTTTGAGAAGCAAGCCAGGTATCATGAGCCTTTTTCTGCCTATCCCATTCCTTCTTAAGCTTCTTCTTCTGGCTCTTCGTTATCTCTTCGCCCTTTGCATCTTTCAGAGGCAGCCCATCTTCATCCCAGGCACTGTACGCGTCTGTTTTGAACATCTCCAGGGGACTTATCTTTCCCTTAGCGGCCTTTTCAGCCGCTTCTTTCTCCCGAGCTTCCTTTTCCAACTGTTTCTGCCTGGCCCTTGTTTCAGCCTCTTGTTTGGTTTGGAGCAGATCTCGCGTTACGGGGCGTACACGCGCAGGTAGATCTGCCCGATCCTCAAGATAGACACCGAGGTCGAATAAGCTGGTGTTACGAAGGTTGTCGCAGAGATCTAATATTTCCTTGGATAAGGTGCTTGATTCGGCGAGGGCAGTGGCACTAGAGCAGAAATTGTTGAAGACATCTTTGAAAGCATTGGTGAATTGGGGATCTAATAGCTCAGGGCTTATAGATTTTCGTCCTTCTTCCACAAGTGATTTGATTGACTCAGTGGTAAGGCCTGTCTTGGCTATTGCCGTCTGGCGAAGAGCATCACGTATCGAAGAGAGAGGGTATACATAGGGTTTCGCTTCGGCGGTGATTTCGTCGCCATACCAGCCAATGTTCTCGCTGTCAGGCCCCGCAGTAGAGTTGAGTCCGAATATGTTGACCATGGATGTTAGCCACTTGGCTACTGCCTGAGTATTTTGGACACTCAGTGCCGTCTCATTCGTGTTGTTGAACTTGGTGATCAGCTCTGAGATGGCATACATGGCACCAGCGGTATTGAACGAATCACACAAGTGCTTGTGTACACTGTCTTGGGCACTCTTCAAAGCTGCAGCAAGCTCTTCATCTGAGGTGGTTTCCGGAAGCTTAATGGAGGGATCCTTGACTCTGATGAAGAAGTTATTCACCTTCTCCTCCCAGGCATTGCCCGCTTTTACAATCTCATCCGTGATTTCAATTCCGTCTCGCCAGCCCCCGAGCAGGAATACGATGCGAAGGCTTCTAGGTGTCCAATCCCCTCTTTGAAGAGCGTCCCTGATAGTGGTGAAGTTCTTCAATGATTTGGACATTTTTGATCCCTGTATGGACAAATGACCCATGTGGATGAAGTAGTTAACCCACTGTACATGCGAGCAGGTTGGGCTCCAGTATGCTTCACTCTGGGCAATCTCATTGTCGTGGTGAGGGAATGCCAAATCGATACCGCCAGAATGGATGTCCATCTGCTTCCCAAGCCTGGCCGAGGCCATTGCTGAACATTCAATGTGCCAGCCTGGGCGACCGTTTCCCCATGGACTCGGCCAGCTGGGTTCACCTGCTTTCGAGGCTTTCCAGAGGGCAAAATCAGCAGCAGATTTCTTTTCCGCCTGCTTATTAGACAGAGCCCCTTCTCCTTCTGACTGCAAGTTGGCATCATTGCGGTTCCAAGGCTCTAGTCTAGCATAGCTATTTCCAGCTGCCTCGAAACTTTCAATATCAAAATAAACAGATCCATCAGGGGTAACGTATCCAAACTTGTGCTCAATAATTCGTTCCACAAAGCTCACAATCTCGGGCATAAATTCCGTGACTCGAGTGATTTCGTCTGGATCAAGGACATTGAGATCTCTTACATCCTGCATAAATCGATCTTCATATTCTTTGGTCAAGAGAGTGAATATTGAGTGGTCAGAGCCCTGGATCGACGATCCTTTCAATGTATCAAGGTAAGGATACAGTATGTCCTGTGTCTTGTTGTAGAAGGTAGCTACTGGTATACTGCCACCAGGAGTCGAAGCCACTGTAAGCGCCTCCGCAGCGGCCGACAGTGTTTTTATATACATCTTTACCTTGGCCTCTGGCTCGCCTGGCTTTGAATTGCCTTCAAGTGGCTTACCATCAAGCACCGCAGCGTATACCTTCTCCGCGGTATCTTTGAGCTCCTGTGCCGGTGTCGATGAAGGTAAGAGTGGAAGATTCTTCGTTATATAGGCTTCGTACGCCGCCTTGGTCGTGTCCAGGAGCTCTTGGTCAATTGACGGGTGTTCAGCGCTAAATTGTCTATACAAATGCTGTTGTCTACCTCTAGTGATAATCTTAGAAACAAAAGAGTCAGCCAGCTCCACGAAAATGGAACAAGGGGTAACCAGGTACGGCTGACTACTTACCTTATCATCCACGTCTGTTATATTCATAATATAGTTAACATCGAATTTAAAATAGTCACGGAGAATTCGCCTGACGATGTCCGCGCTGACATAGTTCCGCGCATGCCCCAGATGCGCATCATCGTATACTGTTGGACCGCAGGCGTACCAGGTAACCTTCTTCCCTTCAGGATCAAGAGGGACGAAGGGAGTTTTCGACCTGGTCAGCGAGTTCCAGATCTTCAGCGGAGGCAGCTCTCTCTTCAGCTCATGGTGGGGTGTTGGCTGCTGCCATGGAGGCTGTTCGCGGGGAGCTGCCATGGAGACAGACGATGATATTGCGAATGCTCTGCAGAGTCCAGGCACAGGTCGAAGAAAACGTGTCGCAGCAAGTGTAACTCGAGGAAGAAGAAGAGTTGACTGGCGGAAGAAGTTCATGTATTTGTTTATTCTTTATATATTTTATATTTCGCTTTACGTCTGACTCAAACTTCTTGTGACTCTTTTTTGTCGCCGCAAAAAAGTTGCTTAGAAGGTCGTTGAAGTTTGCACTGTTTGTCCTTGTTTTTGCGCAATAAAGCAGAATTTTGAAAGATAAAAATATAAAACCAGAGAATAAGAGAGAAGAAGACGAAGCTGTTGAAGTGATAGACAAGCTCAATTGAAACGATGGTGTCTCCTTTTCTCACGCCCGGGCCGACTGCTGAGGCGGACTCCCTCGCCGTCCTCCATCTCCGCCGCGATCATGCTATCGCAACAGTCCTAAAGACTCACGACGACGAAGACCTTGGATACGACGAAGGAAAGGTCACAACGACGAGGTTTGGCTCTTTTCCCCATAGTACGCTCATTGGCAGCCCGTGGGGGTCCCAGATCATTGCGTCAAAGGTCGACACTGGCTCGCGAGGACGCAGATCAAAGAAGAAGGCCAAAGACTCGAATCCTCTGAAACGAAAAGCTGAGGACGCAGACATATCAGAGGCAACCAGTGAAGGCCAGTCTTCTCACAAGACAGCCATTACCGCGTCAAGTGGCTTCATCCATCTTCTACGGCCTACACCGGAATCGTGGACGAGCTCTCTACCCCATCGGACACAGGTGGTGTACACTCCGGACAGCAGTTACATTTTACATCGGCTGCGTGTTCGGCCAGGAAGCACGATTATAGAAGCTGGTGCCGGCAGCGGTTCGTTCACCCATGCATCCGCAAGAGCAGTGTTCAACGGGTACCCCAACGGTACGAACGATAGCCAACGAGGCAAGGTGTGCAGCTTCGAGTTCCACTCCCAGCGCGTGGAACATGTCAAGAAAGAACTACAGGAACATGGCTTAGACGGGATCGTCAGGTTGAATCATCGAGATGTCTGTGCGGATGGCTTCTTATTAGCAGACGGATCAGTCGAGAATGAGTCACCTAGAGCTAATGCCATCTTTCTTGATCTTCCTGCTCCCTGGCTAGCATTGAAGCATCTGGTCCGAGAACCTGCCGATAGAAAGGAGTCACCGCTGGATCCTTCGTCACCCGTACATATATGTACGTTTTCACCCTGTCTGGAACAGGCGCAGCAGACAATCAACACCCTTAGGCAGTATTCATGGTTGTCAATATCCATGGTTGAAGTAATGCACAGGCAGATTGAAGTCCGAAGAGAACGATACGGAGTAGAGTCTGACGGCAAGAACGCTTCTGCGGCGGACCCAAAGAGTGTAGAGCAGGCGGTTAGCCGGCTCAGGACCCATGAGAGTCGTGCAAAGGCATTCCGTGAAAAGCAGGTTAGAAACGCAGAAGAGTACGCCAACAAAAAGGCAATGGAACAGGCCGGAGGGAATTTAGACACCGGAGAGACCAGGGAAAAAACGAATGGCATCGAGCCAGAGAATATTGATACCGTCCCAGAGCCGGTCAAAGAGGAAACCCTAGCAGAACCAATACTAGCAGAACCAATACCCACCAGAACAGCAAAAGCCACACAACAAAAGCCCTCGCTTCCTCCATATAAACAAGGAATGGTTATTCACCGTTCCGAACCAGAGCTCAAGACCCACACATCGTATCTAGTATTTGCGATTCTCCCAGTGGCTTGGTCCGAAGAGGATGAGAAACGGTGTCGGGAGAAGTGGCCCTCGAGAACTACTCAGACTGAGAGCAATAGCCCTTCGCAGAGCAAACGGCAGCTAAAACGACAGGCCTTCGAGGAAATGAAATCCCGTGCAGCTGATGCTGAAGCGAGAGAGTCACTGGATATGACTGACCCTCTACCCGTGTGAATGTGAACATAGTATACATAATAGACCAATTTAGCATTGTATGTAAACCTACCGTCATAGTTAGCCTTGATGCTGATATCTCAAGATGACATAGTTTTGATATGGCAGGGATTGAGGAACAGCTCCCGCTAAATCGAAAGTCTTAAGGCAAAAAACGATTTCAGGGACATATAACATTATGTACACTCAGCTACACTCAGCTGACTACAAGTTAACCAGGTTCAGTCTCCGACTCAGCTAGCCATACTTGCAGCCGTGTCGTCGACCAGGGGGAAGAAAACGTTCAGCGGTTCATCACAGAATAACCAACGGAGCGCTTTGCCTAGCCTGGTCTCCGAGAACATCCCAGCAGTAAGTCAGGGCTCTCTCGCATCTGGACCAATCGCCACCAGCTGAGCTCGTTATTTCTCCCCTGGAGCGTGATAAAGAAGATTTTGAGGGATTTGGTTATTGATTGGAGGTGCCCTGGCTCTTCGTCTGACTTCGTCTCTCTTTTTCTGTTATACATCCTATGCGGCGCCAGAGCTTGCTGTATACCCTCATTTTATGAATGAATTCTCCAACGTCGGTTTTGAATAGCCGACTGACAGTGTCAGTCTTTACTGGGAATTTGCGCTACCATGGCTATCAACGATGAACAAGGCGAATCTTCTCGAAGAAAACTGTTACCAGACGGTGAAAGGCCCGGCACATACGGGTCATTAAAAGATGTGGCTGCTACAGAGCAGGAATCACTGGCATCTCAGTTGCGTGTTGAAGATGTGAAGCTCTCCTTTCTCAGCATCTACGGCCATGCAATATGGTCCGAAATTGCTCTTCTTGCTATATGCTCTGTATGCGCCATAGTTGCTGGTGGCTTGGTTCCATTCACACCGGTAAGCCCCTCTGCTGCTTCTTCCACTTGAGCAAGACGCTAACCAGTTTGCTGGGATTATAGCTTATCAGCTCTCGAATCATACTCGCTTTCGCCAGGGCTGAGTCGAATGGTTACAGTGTAAAGCCGCTGCTAGACAAGTATGTGGTATACTACGTCTACGTCCTCATCACAGCTATGGTGACATGGTTTGTCTCGACGGCTGGTTTCAACTTCGCAGGAGCCAGAATCACGCGCAGAATCAAGATGCGCTACTTCGCCGCCGTCTTGAAGCAGAACATGGCGCTTTTCGATGACAGTGGAACTGGTGATATCCTTTCTCATCTCACGGACGACACTAAAGCAATACAAAATGCCATCTCTTCTAAATTGTCGCAAACTGTTAGTGCCTTTGGCACGTTCGTCACTACCATCGTAGTGTGCTTCGTTCTTGATTGGGTCCTGATGCTTGAGATGCTCTGGTCTTTTGTGCTGGGCTATGTAGTCCTTTACCTGGGCACTAAATTGACTGTTCTGTATAGCGGCCGCAGTATTGAGGCATCGTCTGCCGGATCAGCCGTGGTTGAGGAAGCACTAGGTTCTATCAAGACGACAACTTCCCTGGGGATGCAGCCGCATATCCATGGAAGATATATGAACTTCCTAACAAAGGCAGCTAAGAACGGATTTGTTCTATCCTCCCTCAACTCGATGCTTATCACCGTTTGCATTGCAAGTGGCTACTTCAACGTTGCCCTAGCATTTTGGCAAGGGTCAATACGGCTAACTGAGGGGAAAACGACATTTACTTCAGTCGTAGCCATCTCTATGATCTCCAAAGCTGCTGCATTCTGTGTGTTAGGAGTTGGTTCGAACCTGGAAGCGTTTGCTGCGGCTACAGCAGGGATAGGTCGCCTCTCACGAATCATACGGCGCGAGTCGTTGATAGACTCGTCTTCTGACAAAGGATACATACCCAATAACTATGATAGCACCTTGGAGTTTCGCAGGGTAAAGCACATCTATCCATGTCGGCCAAACGTCGTCACTTTAAAAGATGTGAGTATCACGTTCCCAATGGGGCAGACTACAGCTATCGTAGGGCACTCTGGGTCCGGTAAAAGCTCTATTTCGAACCTTCTTTTGCGCTTCTATGATCCCCTGGCAGGCCGTATCCTCCTGAATGGAAAAGATCTATGTCAATATCAGCTCCGCTGGCTCCGCCAACAAATTGCGGTTGTCAAACAGGAATCGTTCATGTTTAACAGATCTGTTTTCGAGAATATTGCGTGCGGTTTCACGGGGCCACAGTGGGAAGCTGTTCCACAGTCTGAGCGTGAACGAGCCGTTTACAGAGCCGCTAGCATGGCTCAAGCAAGTGATTTTATCAATAGGCTTCCCCAGGGATACGACACGGTTGTAGGCACACGGGGTTCAAGGCTCTCAGGGGGGCAACTTCAACGAATCGCCATTGCCCGAGCCTTGGTAGGAAACCCTCGAATTCTTATCTTGGATGAGGCAACTTCAGCGCTTGATAGTGAGACAGAAGCCAGGTTGCTGTCGACCATGGCAGGAGAAGACAGCAAAAGGACTACTATAGTCATTGCTCACCGTCTATCCACAATTCGCAATGCCGACAATATCATTGTTCTGAATGCAGGGCGAGTGGTTGAGAGCGGACGACACGATGATTTGCTCGCTGCTCGATCCTTTTATTATGACTTGGTCCAGGCACAAAATATAGAGGTCGAGGATCACCCAACGGCTGCGGTCTCTGGGACAACTGGAGATCCTGCTGGCCTAAGTAATGAGAGAGTCAACGGTTCTTCAGCGACTGGTGAATCCATACACAAAGCCGTAGCTACCGATAATGTGGCCAACTCTACAGTTTCATCTTCGCTTTTCTCAATGATTTTGTTCATATTCAGGCTCAATGAGGGAGAAGCTCATTGGCTTATGCTTGGACTCATCTGCTGCATTGTTGCAGGGCTCGAAGAGCCAGCGTCTGCATTCCTTTTCGGTAAAGCCATCTCGGCCATCTCACTGCCCCTGGACCATACTGGGGAAATTATCTCAAATGCTGCCTTTTATGCATGGATGTTCTTCATCCTCGCGATAGTGATGCTTATAGGCTTTGCCGTCCAAGGCATCACATTTGCATTCAGTTCCGAGCACCTCACCAAACGAGTTCGGTCACTAGCCCTCAGCCAGTATCTACGGATGGATATATCCTTCTTCGACAAGAAGGAAAATTCTGCCGCAGCATTATCTGGATTCCTATCCAACTCTGCCAGCGACCTGACCGGCTTGAGTGGTAGTGCCTTGGGTGCTATCATTATCTGCATCTCCTCGCTCGTTTCTGGTGTTGCTCTGGGATTTGCACTGGGATGGAAATTGGCGCTTGTGTGCTTTGCTATAGTCCCTCTGATGATCGGAGGAGGGTATTTTGGAATTTTACTTGTTGGTGAATTTGAGAAAAACAACGAGCAGTTCGCGAACAAGGCAGCTGAATTCGCAGGGGAGACACTCAATGGTATTCAGACCATTGCGGCGTTGACGAAGGAGCAGGCAGCATTGGCCGAGTTTGATGCTATTCTTAACGGGACCAAGAAGGAAGCTCTGTTGGCGAATTTAAAAGCGTCTTTCATGTACGCCTTGACACAGTCGGCTTATTATGCCTGTATGGCCCTCAGCTTCTGGTATGGCGGCCAGCTCATCCTCAGCGGCGAGTATACTCTCTTCCAGTCAATTGCCGTCCAGTCCACAATGCTGCTGAGCGCCTTCTCTGCTGGCTTAGTATTCTCCTGGACCCCAAATATCGGCCAAGCGAAACAGGCTGCGGCGTCTCTGCAACGCCTGTTGGCACAGCAATCACCCATCGATCCGTCGTCTCCACACGGGGAGAGACTCAGTCCTATGCGCGGCGACATTAGCTTCGACTCGGTCAGCTTTTCGTATCCCTCGCGTCCAGGCCACCGAGCTCTAAATAAAGTGAGCTTCAGCATCCCTGCTGGTTCCAACGTCGCCTTTGTAGGAGCAACAGGTTCGGGCAAAAGCACCATCATCTCGCTGATCGAGCGCTTCTACGACCCGATTGACGGAATGGTACTGGTTGACTCGAAGCCCATCAGGTCGCTCTGTCTGTCTGAATACCGGAAATGTATAGGACTGGTTAGCCAGGAGCCTCATCTCTTCAGCGGGACACTCAAGATGAACCTAACAATCGGATTGAGTGATAATGAAAAGCCCAGCGACGAAGAGGTCCAGAGTGCCTGCCGCGAAGCCAACATCCACGATTTCATCATCAGCCTTCCGTGAGTTTGTGAATCCCTTATATATACTGCTTTTCGTGTCTCTAACCATATGTTTTAATCCAGGGAGGGGTATGACACCGAAGTAGGCAGTAGAGGCAACCAGCTCAGTGTTGGTCAGAAGCAGCGTGTAGTGCTTGCGCGAGCGTTGCTTCGACGGCCCAAGATCTTGTTGCTAGACGAAGCAACGTCTGCACTGGATTCACAGTCTGAAGCAAGCATCCAGCAGGCTCTCGAGAAGGCCAAAGAGGGCTGCACAACGATCACTGTCGCGCACCGGCTCAGCACGATTGTCAAGGCAGACAGAATCTATGTCATGAGTGACGGCCACATCGTCGAAGCCGGGACACACACACAGCTAATATCCCTGGGAGGTGTATACCAAAGGCTCTACCTAGCCAGCAAAAGCGGGCAGGCTCTATAGCTCTGTATTGTAGCAAGTGGTCAAATGTTATGACGTTCAAATATCATTATGTAATCAGCCAGTATTAAGGTTTAAAGTTCTGACAAATAATCAGAGAATATTTTACCGTCATTATTATATAATCAATGAGCCGAGGTAAAAGAAAAATTCAAGTGAAGATGACAAATATTACTAATAATCTTAATGATACAATATTGGACGACGGAGACACACATAGTCAGTCGCGCGGCTATGATATGAACATCTCGCCCACCGGTGTTGCTCCGTTTTGTATTGATGAGGCGAATGGTGAGAAAGAAGATCGACTCCAAACGGGATTTCGCCACCCTCCCCATACTCCATAACTCCATTCAAGGTAACTTCTCCGTCCTGGCTGAATAAAACGATAATGCCAATAACTTCGAGGAACGGTGGCTGAACCAGATAGCCAGCTGTGCTGAAGCCCAATCACCATAGCTTCTCACCGAAGTCCGGACGGGATGCATACCCACTCCGCGACTACAGCCGATTGGAAACCAAACATTGAACACTTATAAATCGAGGAGAGAAAAAGAGGATAGAAAACAGCACCGGTGGGCTGTCTAGAAGCACTGTCTGGAGGACTATACGAATTAAGCTCCGTATACCGTACCAATGCCAGCTCAGCTATATGTTCGGATACTCCGTCGAGTAGACTCTTGTGCCGCCCCCCTTCGCCAACGCGGACGAGAAAAACTCCCACGGCTTATCGCGAAGCGCTGCCAGGGCGTTTTTTCACCTCTCTTCCAAATATTTTCTTTTTTTTTGTTAGCTCCAGTTAGGCTAAGCTCCACATGGCATTTAGGTGGCCGCGTATCATTCGTGTATACATAATGATGGCAGGCCGGTGCTAGCAGACCCAGCCGATGGGCCGTTCCACAAGTTGTTGTTGTTTCGAGAGAGAGAGAGGACTGGCTCCTCTTTTTTCTTAGCCCTCAAACTGTTGGGTTCTGGGAATATCATTTGTCGATATGGGTGCTGGGTCTCCTCCATCCTATCGCCCAGCATATCGATTGTGCTCCATTTTAAGTGGACGAGGAGATGGCCCTCGCTCAAGGGACTCCTCTTTCCCTTGCTGGGCTCAGGTTCGATGGCGGCATAAACTCCATAATTTTCTTTTCTTTTTTGCTAACAGGATATACGTAGGGGCGAATTTAGCCAGAGCTTCTTTTGCCATGCGATCTTAACCCCTTTCTGCTCGAACCAGGGGAAGTTAACGGATTGGAGTCCCAGGGATGGGATGATAGGTAGCCGACCAACCCGGCCGGGGGAGGAGAATCCCGTTGCTGTTATCCTGCATGGATCCAATTCGAGGGCCCAGAATGTCCATCCCAGAGGCAGCTCCATAGAAATAATAAGATGACGATAATAGTCCGTCCAGTCGTAATATTAAAACGGGAAGGCGGTTTTTCCCCTGATCCCTGGCGCTGTGCCATGTACATACTATGGTAGTACATAGTACATACATGCTGATTCGGATAATGCGAGTCAGTCTCGAGGATATATATAACTCTCTCCGGGCGTTTAGTTCCAGGTGAAGGGAGGAAGAAGAAGAGAAGAAGAAGGGATGGCAACCTCGTTTCCGCCCCGCCAGCTAAATCTCCCCACTACTTCTCTTTTCCCCCTTCTCTGATTATATATGTCAAGATTTCGTTATATACGCAGCATCTCTTTTCTCTCGTTGTCTTTTTATTATATCGGCTGCATATTTGCTGGTAAGATAAAGCATTTTTTACCTTTTCTCGTCTTATGCGAGTGTCGTGATCTGCAAAATCAAGTGACATCGCCTGAAAAAAATAAACGTCGTTCTTTTTTTTTTGGTTTTTGTTTTTTCTTCTTTTTCTTCTCTTTCTCTTCCTTCACGATGGGCTTCTTCAGGCGCAGGGAAGTCCGGGCAGCAAGCAACAGCCACCATCACCACCTCGAGCAGGACGGGCAGGAGTCAGTCTTTTCAAACAGCAGTTCCAGAGCGTCGAGCACGTCTGCCAGACTGCCAGTGTCCGGTCGGTCAAGCAACCCCAGCCCAACATCGCATCCGATACCAGAAGTACCCATGGCGCCTCCGCCAGACCCCAACCTGGACCCGGCAGCCTATCTCAAGAGCATTCATGCTGTCCGCCAGAGGTCGAGCCTGGTGATGGCAAAGGCGAAGACGAACCAGCTGAACCACTTTGACGTCGACATGAGCAAGTTCAGCACAACTGCCCAATACATCGTCTCGATAATCAAGGTATGCGGGGTTGACCTATATCTCTCTCTTTATATATGTCTATATATATATACTATAATTGGCCCGTATCTAACGTGTATAACCTGCCTATAGAGAGACTACGCTCCAGACTTCCAAAGTATCCCTGATCACGGACGTTGGCAGCACTTTGACGTGGGCGGGAAGCCCCGTATCAGCCAGCTGCTTCAGTCATGGCCAAGCACAATCGACAATCTGGAGAGAGCACGCAGGCTCATCGATCTCTTCCTTGTATCTGTGTTACTGGATGCCGGTGCTGGGAACTCCTGGAGTTACAAGTCCAAGGAATCTGGAAAAGTGTACAAACGAAGTGAGGGGCTGGCTGTGGCGAGTCTGGAGATGTTCAAGGCCGGAATGTTCAGCAGCGACCATACTGAGCCCTGTCAGGTCGACGGAGCTGGTCTGAGGCGGGTCACGGTGGGAGCTTTGGCCAAGAGAATGCAACATTCTGAAGATAACCCTCTCGCTGGACTTGAGGGAAGAGCGGGTTTGTTGTCAAGGCTAGCAGACGCCCTAAACAACCAAGAGCTCTTCGGTGTGGACGCACGGCCTGGGAACATGCTCGGTGAGTACCTTGAACCTCTTCTTCCCCAGTTTCGTCCACCGACTAATTAGTAATAGATTACCTTCTCTCCCACCCATCGACCCTCGCGTCGTCTGTACCCATCATCCCCGTTCCGGTGCTATGGAACGCCCTCATGGACGGGCTCTCTCCTATATGGCCACCATCCCGCACCCAGGTCGACGGAATATCTATCGGTGATGCATGGCCCTGTAAAGCTATGCCTGCTTCTCCCCCCGCAGCGCCATGGGAGAACATAGTTCCATTTCACAAGCTGACGCAGTGGCTATGCTACTCCATCATGGCTCCCATGACAAAGATATTAAACATTCGGTTCTCAGGGCGTGAACTCCTGACAGGCCTACCGGAATACCGAAACGGTGGACTCTTGATTGACATGGGCCTGCTAACATTGAAACAGGAGGATACCGATCGAGGGTTAGAAGCATACAAGGCCAACGCCATGATCAAGGGTCAGCCGAACGTGGAGGTAGTCCCACTCTTCAGCCCAGACGATGATGTCATCGTGGAATGGAGAGCTCTCACAGTCGGCTTCTTGGACCAATTGCTGGTCGAAGTGAACAATCTCCTTGAACTGAAGGAGGGACAGCAGCTGTCTCTCCCCCAAATGCTGGAGGCAGGCTCATGGAAGGTCAGTACCACTTGTCTCTTTCCTCCATCACCACCTCAGATCAAACACTAATACAGCCTAACAGGGCGGACGAGAGATTGCTGAAGTCTCCAGACCTAATACAAAGCAGCCTCCTATCATGATCATATCCGATGGCACAGTCTTTTGAACAACGCTAAAAACAATGCATATGAAAACTACATTTTTGTCCGGAGCATCTCTACACTTTTTCTGTTCTAATCAACTTGCTCCTAACGCGTTTATGACTACTTAATTGTCCCCTTTTTGATCATCTCTTTCCTCTTTCCCTTTATAACGTTTTATGTTCTTTTTTCACTCTTGTTCTTTTGATACATATTTGTTTCTTACATCTTCCTCCCTTCACCCCCTTTACATCCTTGATTTTGGCTTCTTTATGGCGACCTTTTTTTTTTTTTTTTTGGCTCTTTGGCAAGTTACCAATAAATACATAGCGAATTGTTCCCACTATTTGGTGAGATGGCCTACTCTGCCCATTGCTTTCCTCTCCCTCAGTCGACATTAAGCTACCGATACACGCGAGAAGCCTAATCTAGGCCCTCTAGAGTTCTGGCAAATCTTACAGGATGTTGGATGTTGGATAAATGTTAAAATCAAAGCATTATTATTAGCATCGCCGTTTTTCTTTTTTTTTTTTAATTTATTTCCGAAGTCAGACTCTTATATTGACTAACCCCTTGACCCTGTACGGAGATGTTCTCCATTACCAGATCACCAAACAGCTACCGATATACAACGTCGACGGAGTTCCTAAACCGAAATTGTGATATGCACGTCTTGCCGTGAAGAAATGTCGCTTATCCCTACGATGTTACAAACTCCGTCTAGTCGCAGGCCGTTGAGCCTTCCGGGATTTCTTTTTTTTAAACCAGCCTCTCAGAGGTTTACCCGCTGTCATAAAAATGGGCCAGCTTATATTTGACCTCATGTTACTACTTGTGATTGAACCAGCCCTCAGAAGAGCCTCCGAGCCTGGTTTGATATCATCCAGTGCAGTTTGCCACCCTACTGGCCGATACGAGCCAACAAATCATCGACTCTATGATTTGCATCTGTTTCCATTCGACCGACGTAAAAGGCCCTGGCTTTTCTTCCGCGCAAGCTGGCGCCGCAGTTTGCTAAGGAGGTGACCAACTGGCCTGTGAAAATGCGAGAAGCCGAATTTAAGGGGTCCAGGGGATCCACGCTCATCAAACATCAAACCAACGACTATGCTCTATATATATCCGGATGTTCCTGGGGCCAAGGAATACAAGAACAATAAATAGATTCTTGGTGCATTAGCTGGACGTCATTCGAGCAAAAAAAAAGAGTTCATTGACTGTGCAGGTATGGGGTTTATGGTCCAATTGAATTCATCGCTCCAGCTTTGTCGGCGCTTACAGCCTTTGCCCTCTTTGAACCAAGTGACTACATCGTCATAGCAGCTATTTCTCCCATTTCCTACCCTTTCAACACAACACTCGTTCACTCTCTCATCAAAGACGACCTCTCGACGGTGCAAGGAGGGGCCCTTTATCCTCTACCTGAAAATACGGGCACTCCTGCAACTCTCAGCGCTAGCGGCCCGCAATGTTTTAGGACTTCTTCCCTGCATGCTTTAATTTTATCTTCCCCACGCCCCGTTTTTCCCCTCGCTCTTTGCTAGTTGGAATCGTCATTGAGGAGATTATCCTGTGTCCATTTTTCTTCTTTGTCTTCTCCATCAAGCAGTTTCCGGCCCCTGTTGGCTGAATTAAATTCGTGGCTGTTCGCGAACTGGTGCTTGTCGCAGCTGGAATTGCGAGAAACCGAGCGGCCATCCCATCTTTCTCTCCTTTTAAAACGCAAACGCGAACGAACGAAACGAAACAGACGACGCCGTGAATCTGGCTGGCGATGGGGTTCTTCAAACGGTTGCGAGCGAAGACGAGAAGTCGGGGGTCGAAGAAGGATCATTATGCCCAACAGCAGCAGGAGCAATATCGGCATGGCCACGGCGGCCAGCCCGAGTCAAGCTACGGTAGCAGGCCTGCCAAAGACTACACGAAGGCGCTCCCCCCGAACGTGCTGTCAAATATCTTCTTTCAAGTATGTCCACATGCGCGAGACACGTCCCTGACGTCGTCGGAGGAGTCGATGACGGAGGATGGCTGCATGCTGTGTGATATGCGCGATCTGGCGCACGCTGCATTGGTGTGCACGCAATGGTACGGGATCGCACAGAACATACTGTAGGTTCATGTCCTGTATAAGAACAAGTAAATCAAATCTGTTCGTCAGTGGTTAACGAAACATAGATACCAGCACGTCCGCATCGACGCCGTACACTACTGCGAGCTTGAGATCGAGCTAGCGGCCAAGAGGAAGAAGAACTCGTTCCTGAACCACAATGCGGAGCCGCTCGATGCGCCCCGAACCCGCCTGATGCTGTTCATGCGGACGGTTCGGGACTCGCGGGCGCTGGGGTTGATGGTGAAGTCGCTGCGCATGCCGTACATGACTCGAGAGGCCAACAAGAGCGAGCTTGCACGGACGGTCTCGGTGCTTCCCAACCTACGCTACGTCGACCTGCCGGCCGGGTTCTTCAGTGACGACACCCTCTCGCATACGCTGAAGCAGGAGCTGCTGGCTCGGTGTCCGGACATCCGGCGCATGAAGTTCGCGCGAGGGGCGGAGGGCAGTTTCTCACGCATGCCCAAGACCAAGGGCTGGCCCAACCTGGAGGTCCTGGAGCTTTCGGGGCTGAACATCGAGACAAACCTGCTGCGCACGGTGCTGGGCTACTTTGAGCGGCTGACGGATCTCAAGCTCGAGGACATGCCGTCGCTAGAAGACACGGTCTTCAAGTCCGTCGCGACGCTGCCCGCCTTTCCACCCTTGCAGCGCCTGACCTTGACGGACACACCCAAGATCACCAGCCAGGGGCTGTGCTGGTACCTGTCCAGCCCCCGCAGCCGCGACGCTCTCCGACACCTGTCCGTGGCGAACACGGGCGTCGAGCCCCAGCGCCTGCATGAGGTGCTGGCCCAGGCACCGCTGATCTCGAGCCTGTCGATGCAGCAGGAGGTAACGCGGGAGTTCCCGCCAGACCACGTCCCGCCGCTGGCATCCGGCTCTCTGCGCCTGCTACACTACGAGATCACGTCCGAGTGCGGCTCGTACGGCGTGCAGGCCCTGTCGACCTCGTACTACACCTACCTGATGTCCTCCCTGCTCACCGGCGCCCTCCCGGGCCTGACAGACCTGTACGTGCGCGACGCCAACTTCCCCGAGACGCTGATGCTTGCGCCGCCGCCGCCCGTCTTTGGCGACGGCGGCCGCCAGTCCCACGCCGGGGCCGGGCTCAACCAGGCGCTGTCCGTGTACAGCAAGGGGGTGGACGAGCTGGAGTGGAACTTTACCGCCTACCAGCCGTTTGCGGAGGGCGGGCGCCGGATGAGCGCGTCGCGGCCGGTCAGCCTGCATGGAGCGCAGCTGAGCCCGGCATGGGGCGGGGAGGCGCGCAGGAGCGTCCTGGTGGGCAACGGCTTTGGCGGTTTTCTTGCCGTGCCTGCGGAGGAGGAGCGGCGGCCCAGCACAAGCACTCGTAGCTCGGGGAGGCGAGAGAAGCGAGATCTATGGCGGTGACCTCTCTACTTCTACTCTACTACCACTTCTACTCTTCTACTACACTCTACTACATCTCTTCTACTCTACTACATCCTCTACTACCACATCTCTTCTACTACACTCTACTACTATACCATTCTACTACTATACCATTCTACTACTTCTACTCTACCACTACTTCTACTCTTCTACTCTACATCCTCTACTTCTACTCTACTTCTACTCTTCTACTCTACATCCTCTACTCTACTTCTACTCTACTCTTCTACTCTTCTACTCTATTCTACTGCCGCTGCCGCTTATGTAACTAGCTTACTGCATCTTACTAATAAACGCACCAACCACAAGCACCAACCAAAACCTCGCTTGCTGACTCATCCTCCTCGTCGCGTATAAATAACTCGCTCTCGCACCGCCAAAATCTCTGATTTTCTCTTCTTCTTCTCCTTTTTCTCTCCCATCCGAGTGCAAGGGTTTTACGTTTCCAGTGAAGGTTCGCCTGAGGCAACGTTTTTGCTAGTTGAAAACTACAAACCAGTGACCGCTCTAGTTGGTCTTCGGATCGGCTGGGAATTTTTGAAAGAACGTATTCAGTCTGCTCGATGTGGACGTCTCGACGGCGTTGGGACGATGGCCGGCCGTGTCTCCTGTCTACGATGGTGATGGACTGGCTGGTGTCGGACTGATGTCGCGTATGAGTTGTAGGCTCTTTTCACTGCTTTGTCTCCTTGTGGGATCCTGTAGGGAAGAGATGTTGATAGTCTACTGAGTGAGTGCATTATTGGTCATGTAGTTACTACTAGAGGTACGATAGAAACATGTTAAATAGCTAGACTACCCGCTCTCGTCGTCTCTCTCCCTCCGAATCTCGCTCACAGGAACGTTGCTCATGTCCAGCAGCGGCTTGCCCGACCTGGCGCGGTCGCCCGTAGCCACGCCCCGTCCCTTGCTGGACGCTCCCTGCGACATGCCCGCCTGCGCAACCAGTCCCGTTGGCACAAAGGGGAACGAACCCGGAACATGGCCTGGGTATCCCGCGTTCATGTCCAGCAGTGGACCGCCCCCCTGCTGGTGCTGCTGATGCTGATGCTGGTGCTGCTGATGCTGGTGCTGTTGATGCTGATGCTGGTGCTGTTGATGCTGATGCTGGTGCTGTCTGCTGGCGCCACCGGTGTTGGAGCGATGGCGGGAAGACGGGTACGTGTCTCGTGCGTAGGACGGGTCAGACGTCGCCGTGCCGGTGCGGCCTGGTTTGCGCCATGTGGTTGACGGTGGGACGACGATGGCATTCGGATGGAGTTCGGGGCCCGTGGCGCTTTCGACGAGCGGCAGGCCTTGGATGGGGGCTACGCCGCGGCCTTTGCGGGCGTGCTGGGGCGGTTCCTTGTAGGTTGGCGTCAGGTCTACGAGCGGCTTGGGGGGGTGGCGGGTGGACTTTGAGCGATGCTGGGAAGAGGATGTTGTTGCCGGTCTGGGGTCGACGGTCATGGTGTTGGAGCGGTTGGTGCCGTAGTGGTGCGGCTGCTGCTGCTGCTGTGGGTAGACGGGCTGGTGGTGGTCTGGGAAGTGGTTGGATACAGGCGATGTAGGGGCTCCGGGACGGATGTTGGAAAGTAGACCTGTAGAAATAAAGGGGCCATCGTCTGCCGGCGCATGCTCCTTTTCACGTTCGAGCATCGCCTTGTGCCGCTGGGTGTAGGTGCGGCCCAGCAGGCCGCTGGCGGCAAAGGGCTGCTCTTCGTCGAGAGGGTCGTCCGCTGCCGCCGTCTTCTTCTTGGAGATGGACTTGCTTCTGCCCCGTACTTTCTGCTTGGTGGTAGAGACGACGGCCTCCTTGTTGGCGGCATGCTGGACCAAGGGAGCGGCGCTGAACGAGCTGGGCCTCGACTTCTTGCCCGTTGGCGCGTCGTAGGCGGCCTCGTCGCCATCGTGGTAGGGCGTCTCAGCGATGGTTTGCTCCGCGTCGGGGGCGGCCTTCTTCCTGGTCCCTTCGCCCATCACGTTGACGAGATACCAGCTGCGCCACTCCTGCACGGCATTGTGCCATGCGCCGCCGACGTCCTCGTGCTTGGTGCAGAAGTAGTGCACATAGTTCTCCGTGGTCAGGAACATGGCGGACTTCTGCTGGCTCTTGATGGCAAAGCACAGGGGCTTCGGAGGCTTCAGCCGCTTGTACTCCTTCCTGGTCGGCGTGTAGATGTCAAAGTCGGAGACGTGGCAGACGTTGGTCGAGTCGAA